ATCCGACTGAGTTTTCTAAGTTCCGGTTAAAATAAACACCGCCGGAGAAAAAACATCTTCCGGCATTCGGAAATTTTTGTACCCTGTTGAGAACACCCTTAGTTACGTTTGGCCTATCTCGATGCTTAAAGTTTCTACCACATCACTAGTTTTGAGTTAAGTCATTCCTAGAGTAATACTTTAATAGTAGACTTGTAGCTGAGTCGTTAACGCTAATTGCTCAACTTTTGATTAGCTCCTCGGCTCAAGCCGTTTGCATTACTATAAACGACTGTAAAATCACACTGTATGCACATGAGTTGTTAAAATACAGCCATAAGACTAAAATACAATATAATTATTCACGTGCGAACAATAATGGACATGTATGCATAATGCATGTATGTATGTAATACCAAATTTTTACGAATTCATGACGACTTCAAATTTCAAATTCTTGCTTAAAATGAAATTTTAACAATTGGAGAAATGATTTTTTTTTTTTGTTTTATCGTATCAGAAGACAGATATAGTAGTGTTACATCATAATGGCGTTATATATATTTATGGATGTACGTAATAAGAAATAGATTTATATAATGGTATGTGTGTGTAATTTTAAGAGAATCTTCTCTTTTTTTTTTTCCCTGACAACTATACAAGAAAAGAATGAAATGTATAGCAATTTTCATAGTTTTAGTTCAAGTGTGCTTTTTTATGAATGGCTGTGATAGCTTTTATTATAGAGCACCAATAAAAGGTTCGGACAAATTTACGAGACCGAAAAATAATAACGTTGGTAAACCATATCCAATTGCTTTTGAAGAATTTTATGAGAACAAAGGACTTGATTTTATTGCTTTTGGAGATTGGGGAGAACGAAAACATGACTCAGAACAATTTCAAGTAGCTGAAGCTTTACAAACCTGGGCTAATGAAAATACATTATTTATAGTTAATGTTGGTGGTAAGTATATAGTGTAATCGATTATACAATATTTTCATCGAAAAATAATCCACTTTTGTTGTTAGATAATTATTATCAAACAAACAACGATCTTCCGTTCAATGATCCAATTGATCACGAAGGTGTATTGAGCATAGATGATCCAAAATGGCATACCTATTGGTTAAATGTATATAATGGCAGATTGAAGAAAATATATTGGTATATGGTGGCAGGAAATCATGATTGGTATACCAATGTAACCGCACAAGTAGATTACTTTTGGGAAAAAAACATACGATTTTTTCTTCCCTCACTTTATTACTCTCGAAAGGTTTATTTTGGACCAGAGAACAATAAGTTAGCGATCTTTATTCACATAGACACTAATCCATTTTACTATCCTTATAAATCGTATGAATCAAAAGATGACATGAAACGCAATCTTTTAACCTTCAATTTCAATCATGAATCAGAAATAGATAATCGATTAAAATGGATAGAGGATCAATTGATTGCCGCTCGGGATGCAGATTGGATTTTCGTTGTTGGTCATCATCCCCTTGTTGGTGCATGCCAAACAAAACACCCATCTTCTTATTTAATGTATAAATTTCCACCACTCTTTAAAAAATATAATGTATCTGCTTATATTGGTGGTCATATGCATGACCTTGAACTTTCCGAAGCCAATAGTACAACAAGCGTTACATATTTCGGTGTGGGTGGCGGTGGTGCTAAGGGTACAGACACCTGTGGTGATGCGACATGGGCTGCACCTTTTACCTTTGGATTTTTGCGTATCAATATTCCACATAATGGAGATATTTTATACTTTGATTTTATAGAGGCCAACAAAACAAATGTGTCACCCCACATCTCTTATTCGGGTAGCTTTTGTTCTCGTAAATACCATTGCAAATAAAAAGTTTAATTTTAGTGAACTTTGAATTCTTTCCATGCGTGCATGATGTAATAAGTTGATGTTGGTAATTTTATTATAAATTAATCGTCATATAATTCTGTTGATGTCATTTAAAGTGTGAATTAAATGAAATTTGGTTTCTGATAATGTGTTAATACAACATTTAGAAATTTTGAAAGTGCATTAAAAACTATACTGGAAATGAAATGAGTAAGTATAAGTCATTGAACTATAGAATTGAAAAAAATCAAATTATTATTTATTCAAAGAGGAATAATACCAAAAATAATAATAATAAATTTAAGTGATAGATCGTATAAATTTCATAGTAAAAATCGGCGGAGAATTACTATTATTTTCATATAATGTTGGAATTCCGAAACTTTCTAACAATATGTAAAAAACATAAAGTTATACAGGAGAAAATGCCAATAACTCGCGATCTACCAACCCAATTGAACAATTCTACCATTATTAGAACCGGAATAACTTGCTCTATAATCTTTGTTAGAAACTCAAGGAAGGTTTACTTGACATAAAAAACTTTACATTGTAAGCTAGCTGCATTCCAACTAGTGACCTGACGCAACCATAAGTTCGTCAATGATGAAACTTGTTTCGTCACTTCACTAATTCCAACACTATTTAAAAACTATATTAACTTCCGGCAATTTCTACTATTAAATTTGCTATTTTTATACCCTCTAACCGTGATTTACCTCTTAAACATGATCTTCATAGCGAGACGCGCCAATTCCAATTTAGCGTAGAGTTAATGGAAATACTTTAATTCGAAGGCACAATAGTGATAGGTGCACCCAATTTAAGAGATACAGTGCTCCGTATGATTCTTTGTGGCGTACATCATTGCGGTTTATGATAGAATTAATTTGGCCACCAATTTTACGGTCATATGGGTGGCGCCACCAATGTTCAATATGCACAATATCCCGACACTCATTTTACCGACACCGACAACACTTTCCCGACAAGATATTTATCCGACAATTATTTTATTATGATAGTTATTTCACTGATAGCTATTGTAATTATAATGCACTAATACTATCATAGACTCTACTAATTCTAAAATAACTCGGGAAAAATGATTGTCGGGAAGAAGCACTGTCGGTGAAATGATACAGCCGGGTAAATATTTTGTCGGGAAAATGGTTGTCGAGAAAATTATACTGTCAGGGAAATGAATGTCAGGAAAGTGGCGTCGGTGTCGGGTCGGCAAAATTAATGGCACCGCAAATTTTCATAGCGATACTGATTCGTTTGCAACAATTGCTGTAGGTGGCGCTACTCATATGACCCGTAAAATCGATGGCCGCCCTAATCGTGTCCTCCTGTTGGGTTTAATTAGGCACCGTGAAAGCCACAAGCCACATTATCAAAATTCTATTTAGAATTAATTACTCAATTAAAATCGACCCATCGATGTCGCATTTTTATTACATACAAAGAATCAGCTCATGGCCCAAGAACCTTTTGTCTTTCATCGAGATGTAACTAGTAAATTGATGTAACTAGTAAATTGATGAAACAATTGTGTTGTTAAAAAATTTATTTGCTTTGCATAACCTACGATCGGTTAAGCCAGAAGAGGCGTGTTTACATTTTCCTCGTAAGTAAGTGTATCTATACTTTTGTCGTACTATATTTATTATTAACTACGTATATTTTAACCACGACTTATTCGGTGCAGAACATCTGGATGATGCCGTCTGCTTTTTAATTGAGAAGTTTGGTCTTACCACAAATCGTTGGATCTAAACCTGTTAAGTATCATAGGTCGACGAAGCCATAAGTACTTGATTGGGACGAATGTACTAGTGAGCTACTTAGTAACAGATCCGAATTCTATGCGTTGAATTAATAATTTATTGTCCGGATCGAAGAACTTGTATTTTTCAGGTTGCTACTCTAAATATCTAAAATAGCACCTGACTAGAATTACATGCATGAAGATCCAATTTGTGGCTTAATTCTAGTCAGGTGCTACTTTTATATATTAATTTCAGATAGATCGTCACTTTAGATAAGACATTTACCGTTACAAGCTTTGAAAAGGCTGGTTTAAAGTAATTTTTACGATAAGCCTATTTTCAAATCTACGTATAGAAGATCCTCTTTGATAATGTATTAGATTAATCACAAACTAATGGATCTCCATTATCAGTTTAAAAAATGCGTATCTTTGATCAAATTTTGCAGATTGCAAATTACATGTACAATCATTAGATTGTCATTCGATTGTTATTCGATTGTTATTCAATTGTGTGAGATTTTCTTAATAAAAAATTCGATGTAAATTAATTTATTATTTTCTATATCAACAATGTTCAACTATTGGGTGATTGTAAATTTGAGCTGCGATCTGCAAAATTTGATCAAAGATGCATCATTTATGCACTTTAAAATTACGATATAAACCCCGGAGTCTTCGGATTTTTCTAGCAGCTAAAATAGCACTAGTGATATTATGACAACTACATATCCAAATTTAACATTTCTATAGAATGCAAAATAAAAAAATTTTACCTAGTTTAGTTTAATTGTTTTTGAGATATTGCTTGTGCTATTTTAGATGCTAGAAAAATCCGAGGACTCTGAATAAACCCGTGTATTAGCCAGGTATGATACAAGTTTTAAAAATCAGTGGAATGTAACAGACTTAATCTTGTAATTGTCGTTAGCGTTAGCATATGCTTGAAGTTGAAACAGCCTAAAATTACTAATTTCAGGGGTTAATTTTAGCCAGTAACTTCAAGCACAACATAATCAAATGTATAAATATTTATTTATTACAATATTACTTAAGTATTACTTAAGATTAAATAAAGGATAAATAATTAATTCTTACAAAATTATTTTACATGTCTTTATTCATTGTGCAAATAATCCCCGAAATACTTTGTTTGGAACTATCCGTCTAAAGTTAAGATACGGATATCCATATTTAATCCAAATCAGCGGATCTAGGCCACATCACATAATTTCATTTTTTTTTAAAAAAAAGGACAGAATTATAGACATCCATCGGGATTATATTTGGCCATCTAATAACAAAAGAATTCAATAAGACAAAGAGAATCTCCTTTTTTACCCAAAAAGGGTGTTTAATTAATCTACAACTACGTAATGTTGAACTAAAGAATTCAAAATGGTTATGTGGAGTGATACAGCCCAAAGCCAAGGTAAAAATCATTTTACCAGGTAAATATGGTTTATACTTCAACCAGCCTTAAAGAAAACTTATGTGCATAGGTACGTACGTTCGTACTGATACGTACGTACATAGTATTGCCAAATAAAGAAATTTGATACGATACTTAACAAACACAAACTTCAAACTTCAAATTACAAACTTCAAACAGGAATTTCATTTAATCTGTACGTATGTGCTTACAAGATATAAGGACAGTTTGAGAATCTTTACACATAAAGAGTATTATGGAAGGTGCAAAGATCGGAAAATTTTAAATTCATAAAAATAAACAGTCATAGTTGATACTCTAGTAGATCTCGCACCGTGCGATTATTATATAATTACCTGTACAACTTATTGAGCATGTGAGTACATTAATACAAGATCACATGTGTTCTTGCATACATACACAGACATATATGTACAATATAAAAAAATTTTTTTGGAAGGTGCATTAGCTCCCCGTTATGGGCCATCATAAATACAAAATTGGTTATGATGTATCGGCGCATATATTCGTAATATAACAAATATTTTGTTGGTGTAAATATGGTGTAAAAACTAATATATACAGTATGTCAATATGCACTAATATTAAGTATCAGTTTGAGCTAAAGTTATTAAAGTTGTAAGTTATGCAAGGGAATCGTTATTTACTCGATAAGCATAACGATGAATAATTAGTTTATTACCGAATATAAGAAAAACATTCCCCGAGTTTGAGATTTAACAAATGAAAACTCGTACTTATTATTTTCGTTGCATTAATAATTATTTATTAATCTTTACGAAATCATTTTAATCCTAATAAATTATTGGTGCGTTTATTTAACTGTTTTATTTACAAATTTATTCCCCATTTAATAATAATTTGGAATTATTTTGAATAATTTAAAAGTTCTTCGAATACCTGGATGCCTCGACTCTGTCATCTTTAAGGTATGGCCACCTGCAAACAAGAAAGAATTGTATTACATTAATCGATTTACAATACCCTTTTAATAAATATCTCTAATTTAGAAACAAATGTCACTTTAAAGGCTACGTTAGGTCGTTTTATGCACTTAATGCGTACATGGCACTGTGGAGCGGTTGCACACGAAAGTGGAATATTTATATACTTATGAATACCCTAGTTATTTTTCTTATTGCCCAACATCACCTTTTAGTTCTGTTGGATATTTTACTGTCATGTATAGTTTTTCCTTTTAATTCTAGATGTGTCAGATACCTAATCTTTCACATATCACATTATAACGTATTGCATAGTAGGAAAAAAAAAACTTTCTTTCTCTTAACCATACCATTTTTTTTTTTTTAAAAAAAAAAAACTCTACATTAATATATTCTATTTGCATGTTAAACTGTTAATAATTAAAAAAAGAAAAAAAAAGGAGAAATAAAATAATGGCTCAAAGACGTCCACAGAACAACTATCCTTGGTCCCAAAGAAAACTTCGTCTTGCTAATCCATTTCCAAGATTTGAACATTCTGCTAGCGACGTCGTAGCTAATAACGAATTATTTATCTTTGGCGGAAATTTTCAAGGTCAAGCTACGAATGATGTCTACGTAATCGAAACAAGTAATTACTTATAATTCTTGGTGTTAAAATTTGTTTAAATGTATCATTACTATTTTTCTTACTGATTTTCTTTTTCATAAGGCACATTAAACGTTCTTAACTTTATTACTTCGGGTGACATACCTTCACCACGAACTGGTCATATCCATGTTAATATGGGATCAAACATGATCGGTAAGTTTTAGTTCTAACCAAAGCCAATATATGTAAACACCAATGTAAATAATCATCTTGATTATTTTAGTATTCGGTGGATTAATAAAGGATCCTAAAACTCTTGAACAAAAAGAGGATGAGAATCTTTATATACTTGATACAGGTAAATAATTATCATAAAAACTTTGTGTAGTTTATAACTCGATAGTTATATAAACTTATGAATAAATGAATCTATATATTAGTAACAAAGAAGTGGAAGCAACTTTCAGTGCAGTCGCCGTCACCCGGAAGGCATGGTCATGCTGTTACTGTAATTGGAACAAAAATGTACATATTCGGTGGTCAAACAGGAGAAAGTTATTTAAATGACTTGATTGCTATTGACACGGATGCTTTACAAGATGACTCGTTAAATGCAAGCTGGGAACTTGTCGCACCAAAGAGTCCACTTCCTCCTGGAAGAGCTGCACATATATTATGTGCTCATAATGATAAAATTTACATGTACGTTCCTAATTCTTTTTTTGTTTCTCTTTTTTACCACCAAAATATTCCTAAAGATTGGAAATTTTTAGGTTCGGTGGAATGGATGGTGACAGGTGTTACAACGACATGTGGTGTTACGATTTACATAACAACACGTGGTTACAATTGTCCTGTGCTGGATTCATTCCCTTTCCACGAAAATATCATAGTGCAACTATAGTCGATGGAATTATATACATCTTTGGTGGAATAAATCAGGAAGGTAAAGAATTGGGTGATTTAACCTCATTTCAGATAAATACCCAAAGATGGTTCATGTTTCAAAAAATGGGTCCTTCACCGAGTCCTCGGTATTTGCACACAATGAGCGCGGAAAATGAAAAGGTATTTGTTTTTGGTGGTGAATCAACTAAATCACCAAAACCTGATGAAGATGGAGTAATTCATATTTTAGATACATGTAAAGTATTATTTTCATTATTTTTGTATTATTATTTTATATTCATTTTTCATCTTATGTGGATGCTAAAATATTTAATTCTTTATACAGCCAGGATAAAATATCCTAGTCAAGAACCACCGCAACCTCAACAACAAATGTTATCTCAACAACAACAACAAATGCTATCTCAACAACAACAACAACAACAACAACAAATGTTGTCTCAACAAATGCTGTCTCAGCAACAAATGTCATCTCATATTCCTCAACAACAACAGCCTCAACAAATACCTCCGCAGCAACAAATACCCCAGCAACAAATTCATCAACAACAAATATCTCCACAGCAACAAATTCATCATCAACAACAAATACCCCAGCAACAACAAATAATGTCTGCATATTCGACATCCCCTACTCAACAACAAACCTTTGCTCAGAGGAGTCTCCCAACTTCTCCGAGGCAAGAGTTCTCTCCTTACGGATTTAATTCTCCTACATCTGATAATAGAATGGCTCAATCACCAACAAGCTATCAAATGTCTGAAACCACGGATCCTTTAGATTCTCCAGTTTTGTCCAATACACGTCAAGGCTCAATTCCTAGAACTCAAAAAGTTGATGACCCAAGATCACGTTTACCTTCAGATGTTAACAGAGGTCCTCTTCCGGAAAATATTATATATATGGAACGACAGCGTTCAAATTCTCCTCAATTACGTTCAAATGCTAATATGGAAAATATTCGAAGACAAAATTCCTCTCCAGTTACTACTGCTCGCCAATCTCCGACTCAAATTGATAATCAACGTAGCAATTCTAATCCTTCCCCAAAAACACTTCACAGGCATAGGATCAGTACTGATGGTACATATGCTCATCCTACAGTAATGAGATTACGAGGTGAACGTAGCTTGGAAAGTTTACGTGAAAATTCTCAACCTACTAACATTAGACAACAACATAATATGGAAATTCTTGGTAATAATAATAATGGTACTTTCGTTCAAATGCAAGGTGCTCCTATGTATTCTGGAAATCCTGAATTTTACTCTCCAAATGATTTCAAAAATCCTCGTTCAGCTCCAAATCCATTAGGTGGATATATTATACAACCTGATGGATTTGGTACTAATAAAAATATCATCATGTCAGGAAATTACCCACCAGGAATGTTTCCAAATACAATTTATCAAACTTTAAATTATCCTAAAAGTACAAATTCTTATATGGAAAGTGCTATATCTTCTCCAACTTTATCAATGGAAGGTCATTCAAGAATTTCTGATATTGTTGATCATTCTTCTGCTAATATAATGAATACGGAATATAATGAATTTATGAGAGAACTTGAACATAGAGATTTATTAATTCAAACTTTAAGAAAACGTGAAAAATGGTTAAGTGCTGAACTTGCAATAGCTAGAAAAACTGGTTATACTATAGATCAAGTTGATTTTGAAGGTGATAAATCTGAAAAAATTGATTTGGATCAATTGATAGATAATACTGATAAAGATTCAGAAAAATTTCCTCTATTATTACATATTGCTAAAGTCAGACAGGAACTGATAAAATCAAAGGTAATATATCATATATCATTTATTAAACGTCAAATATGAGATCTTTGCTAGGAAAATCAAAATCAAATCAAAATCAAATTAAAATCAAAATCAAATCAATGTCAAATTACAGCAGAGACCGTTAATGTTACACATATATTAAAACTGGCGAGGGATTATATCCATCACAATTGAATCCAACATAAATAATTTAGTTTGTGATTGATCACAGGCGAGAGGGATTCACTTTGGATCGGGCACTGTCTCTGCTGTAATGTCAAATCAAAGTCAAATCAAAGTCAAATCAAAGTCAAATCAAAGTCACTGGGTGTATATGATTTATCATGTCTCTTTATTTAATTTTCCTATCAATAATCGCATAAGTATCTATGTTTAAAAATACATTTAAATTTAACATTTAAATTAAGCTATATATATACATATATATATATATATTTATGCACTTTTTTTTTTTTTTTATAATATTAGGCAAACATATCAATTCAAGCACAGATTGCATCACAAAAGATTACAGATTCAGAACGAATAAGAACAGCAGCACTTCAAGAAGCAGCTTATTTTAAAGCAAAACTTGCAGCTTTAAAAAGTCAAACAAAATCCGATTTAGTAATACTTGAATCAGAAAGAGCTTCTGAATTAGAAAAACGATTAACAAAATCTTTAAATGAAAAAGAATCTGTTCAAATACAATTTTTACAAATACAACAAGATTTAATTAATGAAAAAACTTTAAAAGAATCTGCTGAAGAACGTGCAAAAACTGCTCTTGAAAGAGCTGAAGAAGCAGAAAATGCTCATGCAAGATCATTAACAGAATTAGCAGCTTTACATTCAAGAGCTACAGAAGCAGAATCTGAATTAAGAGAAACTAAAGGACAATTATTAAATTCAAATATAGAATTAAAAAAATTACAAAATGTTAATGAACAATCACAAACTCAAATAACATCATTACAACAATCTATTGATAATCTTAAAAGAACTCTTGAAAAAGCAAATAATGCAATGACAACTGCAAGTAAACGTGCAAGTGAATCGGAAGCTTTATGGAAACAAGCTCAACAAGATATTGCAAATTTAGAAAAAGAATCTGCTGGTCTTAGATCTCAATTAGATGTTAGAATGAAAGATTTAAGTCGTTCAGCTGAAAAAGCTAATAATTTGGAAAAAATGTTGGAAGAAGAACGTAAAACAAATATTACTCTTCGAGAAATGATGGATGATGGTGTTAATAAATTATTAAATAATTCGTTAGAAAATAGTTCTACTAATTTAAATGATAATTCAAATATGGTTCAACTTGAACAAGAAATTGCTGTATTAAAAAATATTAATGAAGAAACTCAAAAATCCGCAAATGAAGCTGCTAATTCTTTATTAAGTGCAAAGGTTAAACTTGTACAAATGGAATCTGTTATAATGAAAGCAAGATCTGAAAATACTTCATTACAAAGACAATTGGCTGAAGCTTCTGATGAAATTATACGAACAAAAGGAAGATTAAGTGAAAAAGATCGAATTTTAGATGAAAAATCTCGTATACTTGAAGATACGGAAGTCAAACTTGGAATGATGAGAGATGTAATGTCTGAACGTGGAATTTTGGATGATGGTAGTGGAAATTCTGGTGCTGATAAAGTTAAGGAAATGGCTGCACGATGTGAAAAATTAGAAGCTATGCATGTTAAAGCTCAGAGTGATCTTAAATTAGCTATAGAGAATTATCAAGAAGCTTTGAAAAAAGTTCAAGAAGCTGAAAATAAATCAAAAGTACTCGAAAAAGAACTTGAGAGAACAAACGCATTGGAAATGAAAAATAATGAATTACAAAAACATTACACCGAAATTTCAGAAAAATTATCAAAATCTGTAAATGATTATAATACTGCCATGCATTATGTACAAGGTACAGAAAAAATGTTGAGACGCCTAAAAGTTGAATTACAAAATAGTAAAATTGAGGCAGCGAAATTAAGAACACAACTTGAATCTATGCAAAAACATAATGAAGTATTAGAAGAAAAATTATTGGAAGTACAGAATCGAACATCTATAAGCATGGGTGCTCATGAATCCAAAATCCATGAATTTGCTAATAAACAACTCGAATTACAAAGAGAAGATTTTAATAAAGAATTATCCGAAATTCAACGAAAGATGAATCAATCATTAGAAGAAAAGAAAGCAATGGAAATATCATACAAAAAGTTAATAAAGGAACATCAACAGATTAAGGAAGACTTGGAAGAAGCTTTACAGTTAAATGATGCGTTAACTAAACAATTTAGTGAAACATTAGATACCCAAGATTCAAGTGAGAATAAACAAGATAATTGGGTTGAACAAAGAAAATTTTTAGAAAGTCAAATCAATATGATTCGTTCCACTAATAACAAACTTGAAAAAGTAAATTCGGAATTGGAACGAAAATTAAATGCTTCCGAAAATAGAATCACTATATTATTGGATCAAATGGAAAATACTGTAGATGGTTATCGAAATATAGAAGATAACATTAAAGATACAAAAAGTCCAAGAGATTCGAGTGTGATAAATGCTTTGACTGATGAATTAAATGAACTAGCGATAGGAGTATCAAATTTAGGTGTAGGCGGTCGCCGGACGAAAAATTAATATTGCTAAAGCCCTTTTTTGAGAATGGACGAATATGAAAATATGATAATTCAAATGTTCACGTAAACGAATAAATTAATTCTCATTACCCGATGATTTAAAATTTTTTTTCCATGTTAAAGATATATATATTTATTTATCTCTTAATCCAATATTATCTTATATTTATTTGTTTATAAACTTCGTATTTATATATAATATATACTTGTATTATTAGAACTTTTACTTATTTTACAGAAACTTGAATTTCTTAATATACAATAACTGCGTAGTAACTATATAGTAACTATATAGTAACTATATAGTCACTATTAAACTTAATAGTAACTATATAGTTACTATAGTTAATATATAGTTACTGCACATTAAGGTATTCAAAGTTTCTCTATAGTATGTATAGAACCTCAATATGTATTTGTCTTTAAAATCATGTATAAGAAACTATTTAATTGAAATTTCTGATGTTTGATATTTGTATTTGTTAGCATTAAATAATAATTAAATAAAGTCTACGTATTGCATTTATGTTTTACTGTATTTCTTTTTTCGATTAATTAATATTTGAAATAAGTTGACATAGAGGTAAGTAAATTCAAAACCAAATTTAAGTTTACGTGTTTAAACTAGTGGACTCTTATTTACAATCAAAATGTTCCTTAAAATCAATAATAAATACATAAAAGAGTTTTTGCACTTGGAAATAATGACAGTTCTGCATAGTCTAAATGAAAATAACATAATAATGCTTTTCTATCTATAATAAGATTCAAATACATAACATTTGCTGCCTACTTATATCCAACCATGTTACTGAATTGGTCAGCTTTTTGTATACATGTTGTCTTTTTATTGGCATTCCGAAAGTTCTTTGCCTTTTCTAAACATTTTCATCATTATAGAGCTTTCTTCTCGTGGTGTTTATAAAAGTCTGACAATATTAATAGTTTACTAAAAGCTTTTATGATACGTTAAAATTCTATTGGCTACACATTATTCTAAACTGTAGTAATAATTTTGTACTTGAAGTTGATATCTGCTTAAAGTTACCAATTTAGGAAGAAGTCTAAAACAGAAAGAAATTATGTAATTAATATTTATTGAATTAATTTTAGAGTTGGAATCATCTTAGATTAGAGTAACTATTGGTTTTATAAGTAAGGATAGGTTTTAGATAGTTATATATATGCAATATGTTTTTCTAACATTTTTGCTTACCCAAGACTAAAATGGTAAATAACCTGATTATTTAATAAAAATTCAAATAATCTCAAGTTATCAAATAATAATTAGGTTATTTAGATAATTAAAATTATTTAGATCATTTTCATAAAAAATAAAATTATTAGTCAAATTGCTTATAAAAATTATTGAACTTAATTACTTTTTTAATTAATAATATTCTAATTATATTTTTATTTTATTTTTATTTTATTTATGTTAAAGTTCTTGCTTTTAGAAAGTGATTTTTATTTAAGTTTATAGGACATAAGTATTTCTAAGAGTTCTTTTATATAGAAAGTTATAGTTAATTATATGTACATTTTTGATGTCTAATTTAAATAGTGTTAACCTATAGTTTTTTCTTTAACCACAGTAATAACAGAAGTTGTTCAACTATAGTATGATGATTATAACTTGACAGATTCTATATAAAGTCTACATAAAACTTAACAATATACAGAGTAATTTGGAATTTTAAAGCAAAAGCAATAATAGATTATATATAAAGATACTAAATATTACATTTAAATTTATTTATTATTGAAATATATGAAAACATTTAACTTTCTTGAAAGGTTAGAAAATAGTATTTTTATAGATATTTTATATATATATATTATTACAATAAAGACTACTCTATTGCTAATAAATGTTATATATAGTAATATTAAGATATATAAAAACTAATAAATATAATAAGGATGTGGCGACTTAGTGAAGTGGTTAAGTTGTTGCATCCGAGATAGCCAGGTTTAGAGTTCGAATCCTACTGGTGACGATTTTCGAATATATAATAAATATATCTGGTGTTATACGATCTATATAATGGTCAACCATATTCTGTGAAGTTGGGGGTACCGCTTTCCGTGCTCTGGCCCTGTAGCCCTAGGCACTGGCATTGGTGTAATGTACTATGT